CAGCTTGATCGCAATTGCCTTTAAATCCTTTGTTTCTGTCGTCTTTCCTGGATTGATTGACACCGGTTGAAGCTAGATTCGTGAAGAGGAAGCGGGATATCGTCGAAATCAAGGTCGAATCAATCAAACATTCGCGTTGATTGTTGGAGCACCGTCACATATATCGGCGACCCACCCTACTCGTGTTCCTCCACGTCAAAGGTGTTTGATTAAGATGTTACCGAGAATTGCGCAAACACTAGAAGAGAGTTTTATGCGCTTAGCTCGCGTAGAGTGAGCACTTATGGCAAATTGTCAGTCCTTCAATATCCAGCGGTGTGAGAAGCGAGTGCACACTGTCACCTTTTCTTTGAATTTCGGGAAGTTATGGAAATTAGATCCATTGGACACGACCCAGGTTGTGTGGAATTGGTTTCAGCTAACTGGCTTCTAGACTTAGAGCATGCCGAAGATAGTACCCCATCTGCGACAGCTCACAAAGATACCAGGCAGCAATGCGTAGATTAGTACCGGTTGTCGGACGTTTCGAGTTATGCTTTGCACCCTCTAAATACATAGCTTCCATCCAATACTGGCATGTGCTGATTTGGTTGGGATCAGATAGATGTTATTTGAAAATGCAGCTGCCCAGACAGTTGTGTCAGTGCCTGTGGAGTAGTTGATGGGGTCACGAACCGTATAGGAAAATCTCGGGGCGCTTTCGTTACTCATCGCCACTTGTGGCGCTAGCGCGATATCACCCTCGCCTTAAAGGGTATAATTTACGATATTGTCAACTACTCAAGCCTCCTGTACAGTTCTGAAATCTGGCCCATCACATCGGTAGATAGAGAGAAGCTACTTGCAGTGCTTTCAAAGTTTAGCTCATATCTGGTTTGAACACTGCGTCAGCAATGTGTGTTCGGCGCCTTGCTCATGACAGTTATCATCATCATTATACACGTTAGCTAGAGGTGGAAAACACCGCTGTTAAGCCGCAATAGGTAAGAAAAGAAAAAAACATGCAACCGAGGCAACCAAGCTGAGTAACGGATGGACGCCCTTCCGGAGGGCTATCAGCTGCCGCAAAAAAGTTATATTATGCTTAGAAAATGAGATCGTGGTTGGAGGGTGAGACTAAAAGGGAGAAGGAGGGACAAAGAAACTCACAATACAAACGCCAATGAGGTGGACTCCTGGCCATATCAACAAGTGTATCCAGCCAAACTTGTGTATCGTCTTTCGGCCACCAACCAGGGAGCCGAAGCTAAAGTCGAACTAAGGGCATTCATTACTCTTGCCAAGTCGCCGCTTGGCCACCTCTCCTTTCTTTCTATTCACACCCCCGGCGCGCAAAAAGCGCAGGTCGTGGGAGTCGGTGTATTGGCATACACAATACGTGGCTCAGCCATCGAAGCCAGGTGCGTGAAATAACGGTGCGAAGTGATTCACTTCCCATTTCTCTGTCAGAGATAAGACGTCGAACACGCTCATTACTCACACGGTGTTCCCACCAGGTTTGAGCCAAGATGCGAAGCCACCGGTGGTCAAACGTAACTAGCCTCTTTATATCTGCCGACCTAATTGGGTAGGTTCCACAATCGTACAGTAGAGTCGAAGGACGGCTGCATTGTGAACCATGCCATTCAGGCAGAGTGATGTCGCACCGGCGCCACAGGTGGCGAAGTTAGCAAAAGCACCACGATCTCGTTTTCGATTTCACCGGTGGTGATACAACTGCCGGGGTAAATGAATCTTTGAACGACCTCTAGCTAATCAACACCAAGAGTCAGCGCAGGAGGCGGTCTCTGCCAATCAGAGGAAAGATTTGCATTTCGGGAGTGCAAAGGAAAGCCCGAAACGGCTGACAACCAGTGCTAATCTGTCCAGAACCGCTTGACACATTTGTGAGCAATGTCGTTCGCATACGCCAAGTCCATGAGTCGCTCGCATGGGAGCAGCTCCACACCTTCTAAATCGTGTTCTGTGAACGTGATCTCTATGACTTCGTCTATAGCAAAGTTAAAAAGGTGATAGCGAGCATCTCTGTCTTACACAGAGATATTGAAGGGCGACGACAGCTGGCCGTAAGCCCTCTCTGCCCGAGCTACGCGCGTATAGCGCTCGGATAATATTTACATATTTCTCGTGCACACCTTTCCTCAGTAGACAGTCTTAAAGGGCATATCGATCAACCGAATCGAAGGCACCTTTGATGTCGAGGAACACGACTACGGTGGGCCGCCAATATATGTGACGGTGCTCCAACAACTGACGCAAAGTGAACATGTGATCGATGCAGCCCCGACCTCGACGAAACCCGGTTTGCTCCTCACGAATCTGACATTCACAAGTGCCAGTCAGTCTGCGAAGGATGACAGAGGCAAGGAATTTGGAGGCGATGGAGATCCGACTGATTCCTCTATGGTTGCCGCATTCCGAACACGAGCGGCTCCAGTCGGTTGGGACAATTTTCTGCTTCCACAGTTTCACTAGTTACTCGTGTAAATCGTCAACAAGAGCAGCTCCCCCGATGTTGAAGAGGGTCGGATGAAGATCATCTGATCTCGTGGCCTTATTCAACTTCGGCAGTCCGATCTCACACTCGACTTCTGAGAAAGAGAGCGGATCCAAAAAGGCAGGTTAGGGAGCAGGGTGATCACTAACGGGGGGGGGAACCTAACGATTCAGGCCGGTTAAATTGCCTTTCAAAGTACTCATCCCAACGCTCCAACGTTTTGACAAGTTGAGGATAGGCTGTCCACGCTCGTTACATATATTTTCTCTAATAGTAAATCTGCTGCGCTTCTCGCTTATCAGTCGGAATACCTTCCTATGGTAACCAACGGCACCGGCCACTTCCATCTCCGAGGTAAGATGGGACCACTAGGATTTGCGGTCTCTCTTCAGACTAGCCGTAGTTTTGCCCTGAGGTCTTTGCGAGTCCCGTTGTGTTCGCTTCCAGCCGGAAGGTGCCAGCGAGCATCGATAAGTTTCAGAGACCGCGAAGATACTTAATGTCCATGCTGGCTATTGGATTTACCACACGAGGATTTGTCTGCTGCTAATAAGGTCTACTGAACATGCGACCAGTGACCTTCGATTATATCCAGTGAGTGCTTACTCAATTCACGTGCCAGCGTACTTCGATACGCATTCAGAACACGTGGCTTCGTCAGTTGGCTGGTGTCTATGCGCCCATAGGGTTGTCGAGGGCGTCCGCGAAAACGCACCCACAGATAAACAAATACAAGTGCATGGGCAGTGTCCACACATGTGGTCCAAATCGAGCGACAGTTTTGGACGCAGCCTTTCCAGCGGTAACTGATCGCAATGTGATCGATTTGCATCTAAGGCCGGTGGACGCCATGTCACTCTCTGTCGGGTGCTGTGTCGGAAGTTAGTACTCGCAAGAAATAAGGGAGCATTTTCACAGATGAAGTAACTGCTCATCGTTATCATTACGGGAGCCTACACCATGTTGGCCGTCCAGATGCAGCTCATCAATGGACGATTTTCCGACTTGAGCGTTTAGATCCCCAGCCAGCACTACAGTGTCTGCTTCTATGACTAAGAACCTGTTCAACTGGGATAGAAGTATTCTCTTACCGGGTCATCGCTAGTTTATGCGCGCGAAGGCAGCAATGACAGACTCCTATTAATCCCGCGCGACTTCGAAGCTTTGAACGAGCCGGCCAGTCGGATCGCTCACATCCTTCTACTGATTGGGATCCAGTCAACCTGAGCAGCTTTAGCCCGGGGACTCAGGGCAATACCAACATTGACAACTCGAAGTTGCATAGTCTCCGGATAGGTGCAATCAGAAAGCACTGCAAGTGCCACCTGAAGTGGACCGCTCAGCACCCTTGTCTGACGTATTAAGGTCTGAAAGCATGGTTGTGTTGAGCAAGGCAATACACCGACCCGACGTGCATTGTTTGTGTGACCGGGCTGTGGGTGGACAGAGGAAAGGCCAAACGATAACTTGGTCATAAGGAACGAAGGCCCTCATTTCGAAGTTGGCCTCGGTTGGAGCCCCTCGATTTCGTGGTCGGGACCAGAAAGACGCTGAGCATGTTTGGTTGGATACACTTATCAACATGGTCAAAAGTGGACCTCAATGGCGTTTGTGTTTCGAATTCCGTTGCCCCCTCCCGCATCCCGTTTAGCTTCACTCTCCAACTACGTGCTCATTATCATTGCATAACTAAGTGTGATTGTTTTGTATTGTGAGACAACAGGTGAGATGTTTTGCACCTCTGGCTAACATGTCGAATAATGAGTGATGATGATAGTAAGAACTTTGTGATGCTTATGCCGGTTTGTTGTATCAGCAAATAATATTGAATAAGTTGTGTACGTTCTAGTACGTACTAAATACACTCGCCAAATGCGTACAGAAAGCCTGATTCATTTGGTGGAATCAGTATGGTGTACGGTTCGAAGTTGGGAGTGGAATAAATCATTAAACTGGATGTTAATGATCTGATCCATCTTCCATGTAGGGGTTCATTTAAGCAATCCAGTGCAGGGCTTGAAACAATGCAATCAGTGTCCACCGAAAGCACTTAACTAGACTGCCAGTTTCAGCTGTGTCTGGTGCTGGTCTATTTTTAGAGTGAGAGCAAACATGGAGGTCAACTATAGCCCAGAAGAAATTTTCTCGTCGGAACAATCTTGTGGCCATACGGCGACCAATATTTTGGCATTAAGCAGTGTTTTCAATGTCCCTGGGTGTTACATTACAGGATTAAGGTAATGCGCTAGTTTCCACTCACCTTCATGTCCATGAACATTATGGCCTCTACAAATTTATAATTATGATACCGAAGCAAAAGAACAAGAAAGTGATATGCTGTTCTTGCCAGTAACGACTAATGGTGCGATACTTTCGGCGAGTACCAGCGCAAGGCATGCTTTTGCTATTTTGGGGCCAAATTTTGATAGTCCCTATAATATACATTGGAACCTGTCGTACACCTATGGTCAACCGTGTCACTGTCAACGGATAAAAGCATGACCCCCCCCCCCCCCCCAGAGTGTTGAAGTCTTTTCTTTACAGAAGAGAAGGAAATTATTGGCGTCAAGATGTAACGAGAGTACATCCCCAAAAACTGCATCAAACAGAGATAAATATCACTTCGCAAACTAAGTGATTGGGCCACCACCTGAGAGCTCCGCACTCTGGAAAAAAAAGAAAAGTGGCTGCTTAAAGTATAAAATCAAGTAGGTAGTTCGATTTTGCAGGTCACATTTCTGAAGCGAACGAAAAAGGTGACTACAAATAATTCGTCAGTATCCAAATGCACTTCATAAAAGATGAGAAAGAAGAACTAACCTCAGGTAGATCAACGAAGGCCAACCAATCCGATGGATAAGTGGGAAGCAATCCCATTGTGTGGCATTTGTACATTGCCAGCACAATCATCACGAGATTTCCAAGTGTGTACACCACACACTGTAAGAGGGCTTGGCTACCCTCGATCAGATTGAAAGCTAGAAAGAAGCAAATGGGGAAGATTGAAATATTATCCGGGTATAAACTATACGGATACATTGAATTACAAGTTCATCTTATAGAATGTGGTGACGACGCTAGTAATCTTCCGGGTCAGATATATCTGGCTATTCTCTGCCTCGCTGCGCATAACCGGACCTGGTACGATAATCCAGCTGCTTGGTATCCTGATTCACATCGGATGTCATTTAGTGGTCTCAGCTGGACTGCTGGACAGTGATGAAGGTGCAGTGATCTGCAGTAGAAACAGTAAGCACCAATGACACGAAATGAAATTTCGCAATCTCTCCGCCCCATTGTTATTAGGCTTGGACAGTAAATGATAACATCGGATGAGAGCTACTACTTCGTGTAGTGTTTAAGTTACACAATCAAATGGCAAGACCAGATGAGCGACATCTCGCAAACCGTACGGATAAGGTGGATCCATCGAAAATTTGCACCAATGTTCAAGAGATTGAATTTTAAGCTCATGATTAAACTACCCGATTGATTCTAATGATCCATCAGGGCAGAAAGGAGGACAAATGCATTTATAGGTACTATAAAGTATTGCAAAAATCTACATGCACAAGTTGGTGATACAGAGCATGAGTATTGCGGCCCGATTTCAGTTTGAGACAAGAAAAAATACCAACCGATTAACACTAGTGTGTTAGTGAAAGAGTGCTAAAACAAATCACTTAAAATTGGCTAATACTGTGTTATGACTGGGTAGGTTTGCACTATATGACTCCCATGGGCCCTGATAGTCAATGTCAGCGGTTGGTCTGGTTACATTAAATCAAAATTGACAGTTTCGTGTCAATGAATGCTATGATGCGAATTCCAAATCTGATTATAAAAAGAACCAGGAGTTTGATTCAAAAGGTATTTCACCGCTTGCTTAGATGCAACTGAGGACAGTCAAGTAAGAACCGGATGGTCCCAGAGTGCAACTGCAGAGACCGTTAATCGCCCAATGACCCATTCCTAACAGACAACGGTCGAGAACAGGAACATCAATGTGTTCAACAAACTAGCGCTACGTCGCTATACCAATCGATCTCTGTGGTCAAGGTGACTGGAAATACCGGTAGCTCGAGTCAGTTGTTCGTGTGCTAGACGAAGTTAGCAACTAGGTTGTAAATGTTTTCGCAACCAATTGAGGTGAGACCATTAGTGCGCACCAATATATAACCAAACTGCTACGCTCGGCGAGCACACAAGCATCTGATCTTGGTCACGATACATACAAAATGCGATATGTTACCGGAGACACGAAGGTGGTATCAAATAATCATAAGGTTGAACCGCTGGCACAAGTAATGAAAAAAGGACAGTGAATCACCGCTAGACATATGCTGCGGTCCTAATGATGAGGATGATGCTGCTGCTGAAAACTTCAATACACTGCTGCAAGCATGATCATAACAAATCCTTATGGTTGCCTCCGCGCCGAAACGAGACGATCAGAGTCGAGACGAAGAAAGTCAGCTCACTCGATTGTATGGAGAATAAGGCTTGGATAGGCCGCAGAAAAAGCATAATCACAGACATCAACGGAAAAATAGAGATTGAATTTCCAGAAATCCACATTATGAGTAAATTCATTGGGATCTGGCGGATGGGTCCGAGGGCGATATTCCAACTTCGCTGAACCACAAGTCGAGGATCCGAATCTTTTAGAGCGCTAGCAGGGAAAGACCGGTCGATGTATCCGGGTGGATGCAATTCGGCAGCAGTCACCTGAGTAGACGCATTCGCTCTGGGCCTACACGAATGAAAATATAGATGTTTCTTACTTTGAGCCAAAATCGAGAGACCACTTCCTTGATAACATACAACTTAAGTCGAAGTCAAGCACGCCGGAAACGGGATGGCCACTCACTCCGTCCATCGGTTCTGTTAGAAGGGAAGTCTGAAAAGCAAATAGGGGAACAGTCTTAGAGAGGAACAAAAGAATGAGCAAGTGATAATGTTAATTGAAGATTTCCCATTGATTAGCTTCATGTCACGACATTTACAACGTATACGACTTCGAATCTATGACAGCAGCAGTGAGAAAATCTAGAAATCCAGCGAACTGAGTCCAACCGTAGTAAACGGCGAGGCAGATATTCACAATATACTGCATATTACCGAAAATAAGACGGTTTTTTGGCAACTTTTCGTTTCTACAAGGGGGTAGGCTTATAAAAAACCTTACGGAATTTGAAAATCATATGCAAACTCCACCCAGGAATTCGCTGCCCACCAATGTCCTTTTCACACCTAAGCACCACCCGCTAGTGAAGGACGGTCTTGTAGCGCTCCAAAAGATAACTGTTATCTTTAGTGTACCATTTCACCGATGACCAATTGTACACTATTCTTTCTTGTTTTAATCTCGTTTACATTACGTTTTTGTTGACCTACATCCGGCTCGACACGCGACCGTCTTGTAAGTTCCCGCGCTAATGTGTTCCTCCGGGCTTGCTTTATCCGTCCGCATCTTCTTGTAGCCCATCGAATACAGTCCATTGTGTTCGACTCTAATTGCCTTCTGATATCCGCGCTTAATTTCGCGCACCGTCTCGGACTAGTATTTACTAGTCATACAGTGGCAGTCGGCGCTGTTTTGCAGCAACGAGCAGCCGACAGGTGGCAACCCTTAGCGTTTTTCCACAAACGCCCACAACCTACCGAATCTCGCTACAGCACGTTCAGTAGAGAACTACTAGCCATATATCCAGCGATACGTCACTTTCGACACGTCTTAAAAGGCCGCTCTTTTGTCGTCTTCACCGACCACAAACCCCTGACTTAGGTGCTCGGCTCGACTTCCGACCGATACTCTCCTAGAGAGTCGCGCCACCTTGACTATATCGCTGTTTACGACCGATATACGGTATGTCTCAGGTGTGCACAACACCGTCGCCGATGCACTTTTCCGAATCCAAGCTATCTCCGCTGACGCCGGCACTGCTATCGACTTGGCAGCCAAGGCCGCAGCGCAACTCAATGATGCTGAGGTTGATATAATACGCTGACATCATCAGACGGAACTATACTTTGCGATTTATCTCCAGGCACGCCGCGCCCAGTCGTCCCACGCGAGTTTCGGCAGACTGTATTCGACACGTTGCACGGCTTGTCTCATCCAGGCGTTAGTGCATCTGTTAAACTCGTAGCCACAAGGTTCGTCTGACGCAATGTCAATCGTGACGTTCGTAGTCGGGCAGCTGCTTGCCTTCCGTGTCAACGCGCAAAAGCGCATAAGCACACGAAAAGCCCAGTAGGAACATTTTCCACGCCAGATGCACGTTTTCACCACGTGCACGTCGACCTCGTAGGTCTACTGCCGCCTTCGAAAGGCTCTGTATATCTACTGACCTGTGTCGATCAATTCACTAGATTGCCGGAAGCCATTCCCATACCTAAGTGCTCTTCGGAAACGATAGCAAAAGCGTTTCTGGAGCGCTAGGTAGCTTAATACGGCTGTCCCACCATCGTGACCACCGATCGACGGTCACATTTCTCGTCGACTTTTGCCATGTTGCTTAAGAATTTAGGCTGTCGCCACGTTCAGACGACGGCGTATCATCCGGCCGCTAACGGCATGGTGGGGCGTTTTTACCGCCAATTGAAGGCCGCACTACGTGCGCACGCAGATCCTTCATGGTCTGAAACACTTCTTCTCGTCCTTCTAGGCTTGAGAAACACTGTTAAAACCGATTTCGACGCAACATCAGCGCAGCTAGTCTACGGCTGCACGCTGCGGTTGCCCGGACAGCTGGTAGCACCAGCCCCATGTACTTCCACTTTTGACTACGGAAGTTACACTGATCGATTGGCTCACCAGATGCGTGAGTTACGTCCACCCGCTCCTCGATCGCAGAAGACACCAGTGTACGTGCCCGAGAAGCTGTCTACGTGTTCACACGTCCTTCTTCGCGCAGACGGTGTTCGACAGCCTCTTCAGTCGCCGTACATAGGACCCTTCAAGGTGCTGCATCGTACGAGTAAGGCGTACACTATTGACCGCGGTGGTCGACACGAAGTCGTCACCATTGACTGTCTGAAACCCGCCTTTATGGAAGAAACTACCTCGCCTACTTCGTCTAGTAGTGCCTCGTGCGACGTCACAACTCACCGTACCAATTTTCCGCATGCTAGTGAAGTCCAACCAGACCACGATCACGGTCTGCAAGCTTCAGCCGTCCCGAAATCACCCGGACCTAGTCCGCTGCCTCCCACGACCAATCGCCGTGGTCGGGAGGTGTGTAAGTCCGTTCGTTTTTCTGACTATGTACAGCGTAAATACGTTTAGGTTTGTAGATATTGTATATATTTGCCCCGTTTTTGGTCGATTAACGTTTTGAAAACAAAAAAATCAAAAACTTCTGAAAAATCTTCTCTAAAAAATATTCAAAAAGCAAAAATCTAAACACGCAGATCATTCGTTCGTTCTTTCGGGCGTTTTCTGCGCGTTTTTCTATTTCCTCGTCTCTACATGCCCCAACCATCCCCTTCGATCGACTGGCTCACATGAGCAAAGTTTTCGAGAATCGGCACGGTCAACAAAGATTCTGACGCGATCACTGGTCGTTTCTCAACGAGCCGAGGGTCAATTCTTCGTGGGACGATGGTCGTTTTGGCGCGGGGTAGGGTGCAGCGGGGGAGAAGATCACTCCTAAGCGCGCTGCTTGGCAGCAGCGGTGGTTGAGATCCTGTCGGCCTTTTTCTGGGCTAGCCAGTTTTTGGTAGTCCGACAAGCCCACTCCAACGGCTCGCCGAAATGCACCCTGCCCTGCAATCAATAAATAACAAAGCACAAACGGCACAGCGGACTCCGACTTCCGGCGAACCCCCCTTTGACTCGAACGCCCACTCACTCACTCGGTACGATTTTGCCCAACCAACTTCGATTCATCCGTCATTTTCGACATCGAAGTGTTCTTTTGTTCAGCCTTCTAGGGAAGGGAGCTCTATAGCGCTCCAAAAACAACTATCTTTTGTGTACCATTTCACCGATGACCAATTGTACACTATTCTTTCTTGTTTTAATCTCACTTACATTACGTCTATGTTGACCTACATCCGGCTCGACACGCGACCGTCTTGTAAGTTCCCGCGCTAACGTGTTCCTCCTGGCTTGCTTCATCCGTCCGCGTCTTCTTGTAGCCCATCGAATATTGTCCGTTGTGTCTGACTCCAATTGCCTTCTGATATCCGCGCTTAATTTCGCGCACCGTCTCGGACTAGTATTTACTAGTCATACAGTATGCCAGACGAGGACTTGAAGTGCCTATAGTTGGACGCGTTACTTTTGCGTTGCAAAATCTCGATGCACATTTGACGTTCGCGACGAATTGCAGTAACGAATCCAAAGTCCTTAAACTGTATGTTATGCCAGGCGATTCGGTGCCCTAAAAGTACAACGTCGTCCCATACCACTGACCGTGAAGTACGCTCTCACCCACCGCATGAGACCCCCGACTACGCGAGGCGGCCTGTCTGGCATCCCGTCAAGTTACTTCATATTGTCGGCCGTTTTACCTGTGTCATGTGACTTTACGTCTGGTCAATACACTGTCGGTCCTAGGCCCCATTAACCGCGATTATAACACATTACGGTCATCACAACTGACAATAGTAGAGCAGGTTTCACTTGAACTCACTCAAGGGAGAAGAGGTAGTGATAACGTCAAAATTGTGAAGAAACAATTTTGCTTCTCTTTTGCTGATTTTTTAGGGGTCGGCTACTACAGGGACACGGATGAACAAATTTGATGTTGCAAGGTTATACTGTCGGCCTATCTATGGACAGGCTTGTATTCGGTAATATATGGTAAATAGGAAGCTAACGGACAGGATCCAGTCATCAGCAGCGATGTATGGCTGGTAAACAAAGTAGAAATGGATAAACAGAAAACAAGTACTGTGTGGTATCAGTGATCTCCACTTAGGGGAAAATGGTTCAAATACGTAGGTACGTTCGGGTAAGTTGAAGGGAGAAGTGACGAAGGCGAGCATTAGATTGAGGGCAGTCGTTAGTAAGAGGTTTCGCAAAAGTCTCCGCGTTCAAGTAAACCAATGAAACACTGGGTGCTCATCGAGTGCTTTATAACCGCTCGTGGTAAACATGTCATTAATCAGAGATAAGATGAAGCCGGTCTCGACATCCGTTATATAGGAAATTGAGAACAGAGTGGGTACCCTTGTCAAGGTAAACTCAACAAATATATATAGGTTAGAAACTGAAGTCCATGAGTGCAGAGCACAAAGGCCATATTTGATAGTAGGAAAGCGGTGTCAGTGGCCCGTCTCAAGTCAGTTCACTTTGTCTACTAGGAAGCAAACAATAAAGCTCGTCTGCGGGCAACTGTGACCACAGGGGTGGCAGCTGGAACTATCGAAAAATTAGGCTAGTCAACCTGACACGACTAAGACTGCGTGTTCAGCTGTTTGTCAGCCATGATCCGTGCGGTATATCGTTACCTCGATTCACGTCCCCAAGATTGAAAAGGAAAATGAAGGTAAATTCGGAGGAATGGAAAAAATGGAACCGCCAGGCGGAGTAGGTAAGAACCATAAATGAGGGAACGAAAGCAAGAGCTAAAATGATCCAGTGACTGCACCAGGTCCGAGAAGGTAGACGACAATTGCTGATCTGACTTGTCCCGAGACCCCGTGCAGGAATATGACACGCAACAATCTTACCTCACCCTTTGGTAACTTACTTCGTGAAGCTAACCACGTCAATAATTGAACATACTGGTGTTTCATCTAACCAGAGGCGGCACTAATTAATAACAAACATCAGGGAAGCCGGCAGCCAAACGGGAGAGGGGTATGAAAAGAGCAACATCAGCAGGCCAGTGCGCCGCACCGACGCTTCGGTGCTAAGCGGCCACCACCGACCGCACGGATACCGCGAGGTCGCACACACCTACGCAGATTCAAACAGGTGACCTTCGGGTTAAGCAGCCGGCGTCTTATCCGTCTGGCCACCGGTCTTCGTGACGTAGCCAGTGTACACAGTCAGAATTTAGAAAGCATTTATCGCCAAATAGTGAACTTCAATACCGAACATTAGATGTTAGCATCCGATATAGGCAACAATCCGCAGGCATCATTGACCAAACGTGGTCAAGCACAGTGGCCATCTTCTGACCCAAACAGCAACACTGGTCACATCAGTGTGGCAAATGCCTCCACTAATCAACAATTACATGTCCCATCGTCTCCACAATCAGTGGGGGCTTTGAGAATCCACAGGAGCCTCAGCGAAGCTTGGTATAGGCTCTTCGGTGACGCGACCAGCAGAGACGAAAATGTGGACCTATCGATAATTCCGATGGTTATTCCATGATTGTCAAGACTTGTATTACGGTGGTACATCTGCAACAGTAAAATGTACCTTGAAAATGTGAAGTCAAGTTCAGATGAGACAGGAACAATAGGAGAATCCCAAGGACGTTCCACGGTGTAATTGTCGTTGATCTGGGGTAGGTTTCGGCGAATCGATTTGTCTTCAGATGCACAATCGGCATGCACGTGTCACACAGCGGTCAACCAATCAATGCCCACGTGTCCTGCACCAGCCGTCCCTGCTGTGCCGGTCATGCAAAACAGAGAGAACGGAAAAAGGAGGAAGAGACTGAAATAAAACTGAGCATTAGAAAGCAACATAAAAGAATATATATGGGAAATCGTAATAAAGGCTAAGATGTGAAGGGAAAAACTTGCAATTGTAAACCGAGAGCATCAAGTCGGTGTTTAAAATCCTTAACCGTCGGTGCCATTAAGACGACATTCTCAGGCAGAACGATTCAAGATTCACTCATCCTACACGATAAACGGATATCAGCAAACACTCGATCGGATCGAGGTTTGTGTAGCTTCCATGGGTGTCTACGAAGGGTCGGCAATCAAGCCGGAAAGAAAAGGTGACGTAAATCCGGACCAATCTGACCAGACAAGATGCGATAGATAAGGACCAGATCCCCCCAGTGACGCCGATAGTGGGGCGAAAAATAATCCAGCCTAAGCAATCTCTCGGGATATGGTACACGTCTTAGCCCAAGTACCATTTTTGTGCCAATCCTCCAAACTCGCTCCAATCCCATCCTGTCCCGTGCTAAGCAAGGGGGCATGCTCGGGTGCAGTATTCTAAGTGGAGTCTCATGAAAAACGTGGAATACAAGAAACATTTCCTCTGTTAGGGTTCCACATGACATGTCCCCTTGTGGGCAGCTTTTGTACAGTTTTCGCTCGACAGTGATCTGTTCGGATACTTGTCGTATTTCGCTACTTCCTAAAAAGTAACGCATTGATGAACTGTTACTGCGTCTCTGAAAGAGGCGCAAAACTGAGCACTTGAAAAGATTTATGGGTAGTTGCCACAAAGTGTACCAATCCCAGAGGTTATCAAGCGCACGCTGTAGAACTTGGGAGTCATCTGGGCCACTGACCGTACCCCAAAACTTAAAGTCATCTGCAAACATGAGGAATGACATCCCCAGTTCCTCAGGCAAGTCATTAACATACAAAGTAAATAACAGTGAACTGAGGACGGACCCCTGCGGAACACCACTGAGAACCGGCTGTCGAAAAGAGGTTCGAGCCCACCCGAACATACATCCCCTACCTTCTAGAAATGCTGTTGTCCATCTAAGTGCCTTCCCGGAGATACCATATGATCGCAGCCTACACAACAGGCGGGAATGTGAGACGGTGTGGGATGCTTTGGCAAAGTCAATGAAAAGCACATCCACCGCCTCACCCCGATCCATTGTGTCATCCCAGCATTCCCGACCATACAACAAATTGGTAGACAAGAGCAGCCTTTACGAAAGCCGTGCTGAGATGGACTGATCAAGTCGAATGTCTTCAGGTGGGCTTCCAGGGCATCTCTTACCAGTTTTTTCAGTAGTATGATCAGTACACTAGTCAAACTGGCCGGTCTGTAGCTCACATGAAGGTGTGACCGTTCTTAGAAATTGGGCACATGATCGCTTCTTTCCAGTCAAGAGAAAAAGCATTGGGGAAGGGACTTCTCAAACAAACACGTGATTGGTCCACAAAGCTCATCTGTGAGTTCATATAACAAGTTGTGGTGAACAGCATCTATCCCAGCCACTTTGGTAGATTTTAGTTCCCGGAATAGCACGAGCACCTGCCTCTGTAAGATAAACGTGTCAGCGGAGAATCAGCCAGAATTCTCGTCTCCAAGTCAGTAGGCGGTAAGCAAGATTTTCTAACAAATGTCCACGCATACTGTTCAGCAAACAGATCAGTCTTATTATGATCCGTATCAGCAGCAGCGCCGTCGGGACCAAACGAGGCTGGAAGGAGTGAGCTTAGATTAGCCCTTCTCTTAATATAGGTGAAGAAGCGTTTTGGATTCGCTGAAGCCGAGTTGGCCAACTTCATCCCATAGCATAGTCGAGTGGCCCGCAAATGCTGTTTACAAGCATTCCGCGTCTCTCGAAAAGCGCTTTCCGATGGAGCCGACAAATACATTCGCCAGTACTTGGTCAGCCTGTTCATCAGCCAACGGCCCGTAGCCTAATAGCATCAACTTTGCCTTGTAATCCGACGGCGCGGGTTAGAGCCTGTGTAGTAACAGAGCGACCTTCACAGTATCCTTAGCCTACTTGCAACTGGTGATGGTTGCGCAGCAGCGAAGCGTCGGTACTGCGTACCGGCGTACAGCTGATGCCTTTTTTCAGCCGGCATGCAGCTGAATCAAACCTTGACGGCTTGGGCTTTTTAATCTTCCTTACATAAATGTGGATATGAGGGAGACGCCTCAGACAATTAGAAGTTAAAGTAATCCAACGCGGTCTGCAAGTCATCGCCGGCAGAAATGACACAGGGCGAATTTGCGACCATAACTCTGATCGCAGGAAGATCTGCTCGCCATATATTCGGATTCTGAGCGCTGTATTCTGTGTTCTCGGAAGAGGGTACACTAAAATGACAAAAAGGCGTGCTCGCTAGCCCCCAAAAGCGATTCATAAGCTCACGTATAAAATCTACCGACTTAGGGAAGACTAGATCTAACAGGAACGGGGCCTGACCCTCCATGAACCTAGTGGGCTGTTCCATGGACTGATATGAGGGTACTCGCAATGCTAGGTCGAGAAGAGCGGTGGCCACCCCCCCCCCTCGCTGACAGTCTATATCCGGGTCGAAATCTCCCATAATTAAGCATCAGACTGCGAATGAATTCAATCAGCCCACTAGAATGCTATAAGCAGCTCTATACGCTAACACAATGTTTAGCTGTTTAGAGTTGCACACTTAAACCGAAAGGGCTTCGGCAGCCTCGTCCGATGAGTAAAACGTGCACGTTTTGGAAATAACCCGAGTAGGTCTGAGGTACAGAGCTACCCCCTACGCAGACGGTTAAATGCACAGTCAACTCTCAGTAATGCGTAGCCTGGGAGCCTGCTTCACTATCCATAACATCGGATGATAACCACGCTTTGGTGAATGCAATGACGTTAGGTTTACAGTGATCCACAAGAACACCATGTTATGGTCCCCAAGATTGCCTCCGTCGCTGTGATTGGCTGATAAGAAAACGGCCTTAAAGTATCAGTTTATTCAACAGGAAAGACAGGGATTACATGGCGTATGCTAGTGATACTTACATGGTACGGTTGACCTTCCTGAACGTACTTTGTACTTTATTTGTTTCTTACCAATAATAGTCACAGATTGTTCTGGAACACTTATGAGTCATCAATGAGATTTTCTTGTGAAGTGTTTGGTTAGGGATCCGATTTTATCCGAGTGCTTAGGAGGTCCTCCTCCTAACACGCTGACCTCGCAGATCTTGTTTCGCAAGTTACGCACATTGCTGAGAACTACTGGAAGATTATCGGTATAGTGAGCCCGGGATCGTGAGCCTCCAGAACGGGTTCTGGCAGGGCGAAAGTGGGCCACCGGCTCACCACTGAAAACTCACCAACCGAAGACCCATCTCTCCGGCTTTCTGGTGCGCTTTGACATTTTTGATGGCCTTCTTTAGCTTCAATCTGTCAACCAAAGGGTGACCAGGCTGAACACTGGAGTTTGAAGGCAAAACGCAGGAGTGCCTGGCGTTCCTCTGGAATGAAAGGAACCACGCGCAACAGACAGGGTCGTGGGTTCGGCTCGTCAACCTGACCGCAACCAAGTCTTTTGAGCTTTTGCACTGTTACACCGTGGAACCCACAAAGCCTAAACCACTGGAGGTCTTCCATTACAAGCGCGTTCGGAAGAGTAGCAGAGGGCTCAGAGTCACTCCTAAAAATGAGGTGAATGAGTTACCCCGGCGAGGAGTATCTACTGCACGTGACACAGAACCAGACGGGTGCCCGTTGGTAACAAGCTGTGAGAATTCTATAAAAGCAGAAGTCAACGCCTGAGATGGTGAAGCATTGGGACTTGTAGCCAAAGGAACGAACTACGAAGCACCTGTGAAATGTACGCTGGCTTCCTCCGAACTAACCTTGGGTGAGGATGGTGTAACATTTTAACTCACATTTTTATTATTTTTGTAGGTGCAATGGTATGAAATTCTTCCTCACTAAGGGCGAAGTCAAAAACACAACCTGAAATATCCTCATAAACGGAAGGAACCTTTGTAGTGAACGGTGTAAGCGTCCAGTTGTGTGAATGCCGCATTACCAGAATCTACGGCTGGCTTAAAGGTCTCAAGTTCACAAAGCTTGCCGCGATGTTCACGATATAGAGAAGTTAACAAGGGCAGTATGGATGTCAGGATATGTAAACTGAAAACCGGTGTCGCGAAAATGTTTGCTGTACATGGACACCGATGGGTCTCCTCCCTACAGTAGTCAGTGCAACTATAAACCAAGCTTTCATTCGTAGCTACAAGAGTGCACAGCCCCGGAGTTAAACCAGTCCAGCGTTCGTGGAACCATCTATGGCAAATATCATATTGCATTCCCTACGACGAATCGGTAAAGTGCTCCTGGCAACCCACATACCGCATGCCGCTGCCGTCAGATGAATCAATGGGACAGTATCCTATTACCATTGATTGGCGACATCCGGTTCTAAATTTGCCCGTCACTGCGGCCTCAACGGGGACAGTCACAGGACGCGTACAGAGGGACCATGGGTGGTTTGCGCTGCGCCACCCACAGTTCTATCTACACACATTAAATCCAATGTAAACCCGAAGTAATAAGACCGGGAGGCATATGGATGAGAGCCACGTTTCATCAAAGGAGCCCGCCCACACTCCTTCACAGGAAAACACAAGCACGCTGTAGTGGGGAATCAAGCAACCCCAAGGCGGTGGCTGGACCGTAGTCTGCTCTACACTGTGCATGGAACCACTGTTCGAGCCTAGCACGGTATCGAAGACCGTGCACCCCGTCCCCTCCAGCAACGACCAACTGCCTCCTGGAGCCAGTATGGACGAGGTAGCGGGTAACAGACAGATATGCACCTTGTCAACATGCACATCAAGCGCAGCCACACCGGAGATGTCAAACAACAGCCAATCATTTGAAATGGCATCAAATAATATTCATCAAATAAAGCATACGGAAATGCGGACATAAATCTAAGCTAAATGAGCAAGCACAAGTAATAAATCGGTTATCAACAAATCCGCGATAAGTACAAGATGTCAGAAAATATATTTTAAAAAATGCCACAAACGCGGAAATGTTATCAAACTTGATGACAATTATCTTAAGCGACGTGTGCAAGTTAATAGAGGATTATTCAGGTAAACGTTAAGATGGGTAAAAAATATGCATTGAGACAGGATAGCAAACCCACCACTTGAAACAAACTCAGAACGCAAGCACACGGTTAGTAAATTGAATGCAGCGTACCTACCAACGCCGGTTCTGTTTACGTTTTCAGCAGCACCCGTCGTCGTTTCGATGCTGGTCCCGAGTGGCCTCGCTCGTGGCTCACTAGGCCTGCCTGACTCAAGCACTCGCGACCGCATGTGCTACAGCACCATGCGCTCGATGTCGATGGAGTACGACCCATCGGTGACCGTCGCTTCTGCGACTGCCGCTTCTTCTATGCATGCACGAGGGCTTTCTCTTGCACCTCGGCAACTGCCTACGTGATCAGATCGCACCATGCACGCCGATCAACCGCCTTCGATTCCCATGATCTGCAATCAAGATTAAAACGTGCGAGGCTCACTTTAATCATGTCCTGGTAAAGTAAACTACGGTTTTTCCACGTGCTGCTTCCTCACACTCAGTTGGCCATACAACAGTTGTCTCGGTATCCGCGTCGGTCCATACGCCACACATGACCGAGCCACCTCAAGTGTCTCAGCCACAGTATACAGTCCACTGCACACATTCCACTTCGACGCAACACTTCCGTGTCTATAACTCTGTCGCAACAACCGGTGCGCAGAATCCGCCGCAGACAATGATGATGAACCCGCTCGAGATATCTCATATTTCCCAGATACATCGTTCACATATCGCTGCCGTATAGAAAAATGGTCAGCACTATGGGTTTGTACACAATCAGCTTCGTGCCAACGGTAAACTGGTGGTTGTTCCACCCTCAGTACTCTAGCTTCCCGAATGCCGCCGCTGCCTTCAAGACGCGGATACGTAGCTCACTGTGTAGCTGCTCGTCAGTCAACACCACACTCCCAAGGTAGCAGAAGCGGGAGGTGGTTTTCAATACTTCATCACCAACGCTGATTCGCGGCATCATTGCAGATTGCATCTCCGGTGAAGGCTGAAAGAGAAAGACAGCTTTGCTTGTGTTGACGGTAAGCCCGAATTTGGCTGCTGTCGAAGCCAGAGCATTAGTCATGTGCTGCAACTTATCCGCGCTGTGTGCAAACAACGCACAGCCATCAGCAGACGGACAGTTGTCTCACATAATAGGGTTCTCGCACTGAAACGACGGATGTTCAGTAACCCACCATCAATACGGTGCTGCACACGAACACTGTAAGCACAAACCGCATCAAACGCACAAGACATCATGGCATGAAGATAAATAGTAAACAGAGTAGAAGCTAAGACACATCCTTGTTTCACACCGCAGACAACTGCAAAGTCATCCGAGGTCTGTTCACGCGGGTGAAGCCTCGCCCGCATCCCACTGTGCAAACATTCAATTAAACTTACAAACTTACTTGGACAAACTTACCTACCACCAGCCGTTACTCTGATAATAAAACGAGAAGCAAAACGAGCAGGTCGACAAGGAGTAAGACAAGTGTGTACCAGTTTGCGAAAGTCGGGCTGGCTTGCCGAACTAACTCCGCGTCGTCGGCCGGTGGCCGAGTGGTATGCGCGTATAGTTTGCAACCATAAGGTCACCGGTTCGAATCCGAGTAGGAGCGAGCGTCCTCGCGGTATACTGAGCCCACGCGCGACTGGTCGTGGTCGCGTGGCAGCGAAGCGCCGTTACGGCGTACAGTTGGCGATTTACTTACTTACTCTACCTCCTCGTGGTGAAAGCCGGGTGGATCGTATTTGCCCCGTTGCAGCGGAAAGTTAGGCGGCGGTGTTCCAGGTCGTGACGGGTTTTCACCTGGCATGCGTTCATCCTATAAAAAGCCACATATGTTTGTTTAATAACACTGTGACGTGAAGGATGTGACACGCCACATCACTTTCCCTTGCTTTGCTTCCGTAAACCATTGTAATTCTGCAGATGGAGTCTGAATCTTCGGGTGGACTGGGCCTCAGTTTGGCAGATTGCCGAACAAAAGGAGTAAGAAACGTGCAATCGGTCACCGGTTCCCAGTGGACGCGATCTTCTGACTTCCCCTCGCTGCCTTGTGGGTAGGCTATTGAGCTAAAGGCTCGGGGCAGAGTCACCTAAATCAACTCTCTACTTCGGCCTGGGCAACCGGGTAGTAGCATCCCAGCTGAAAAAAACCATGGATTTACTCTCCTTTCACGCTTCCGCTACGGCTGCTCTTTTTGTTCGCCAACTTTCATCACACGCCGGCACTACATTTGTTGTCAATACTACCTCCGTTGATTCTGACTCCGATCCCGGTTTTGCCGAGACCCGAAAAGCCCAATCAACAGCCATGCTGCAACCTTGATCGATGTCCTCATTGGCCTGCTTTGACGTACGAACGCTTATGTAGATTGGTCAACAGGCCGGTCTGGTCCGCACGCTGGAGTTTCTCGCCATTGACGTTTGTTGCGTTTCCGAAACGCGGTTGCAGGACCCCAGCAGTGTACTCAAACTGATATCCCCTTCTGATCACGGAAGCATTTACCAACTGCATCTATTCACTAAGGCAGAAGCAGCTACAGCAGGTTTGGCTGGCTTTAAGATAGCGTTAAGGTCAGGTTCGCAGAACGGTATAGTCTTCCGCCTAACGAGCGTCCTGGTTTTTGCACCGGCAAGCAACCAAGGGCCCCGGGTACTTAGACCTCCAATTGCATTTTGTGCTTCTACAAAAAAAGCAAAAAAAGCAACCTTAGACGTTCATTCTTCATGAGTTCTCTGCAACGAGCATCAATAAATGCACAATATTTCTGGAAAATGTTCTAACCAACATCTGTCTAGACATCTATTGAAGGCGTCAACCATTGTACAGTTCATCAACGAGGGGGAAGCTTGTTCCAGCTGCCGACAACGCGGTTCGCGAAGTATTTCCCCTTCGATGCCTGAGCTTAAGATGACCTTTCAGGTGATCTGATGTAGCTGGCTCAAGCAGGTCGGTAGGTTCGATGACACTGAGGCCCTTCATGATCCGAAACAGCTCTATTAGATCACCTCTCAATCTATGCCTTTCCATGGAAAACAATCCCAAGCTCTTAAGAGGCTCATCATACGGCTTATCACGTTGGCCCACAATTATTCTAGTCGCCAGCCTCTGCACCTTCTCTGTACAAATAACATCCTTCCGGAGATATAGCGCCCATGCGTGGACACAATATTCTAAGTGGGGTCGTACCACCACTTCATATAATGGGTGGAATGCCTCCGATTTAGTGTTACATAAGGCGGAAAAGTTCTTGCAACGGTTTGTTGGCATATCCTGAGATTGTGCTGAGGGTTTGAAGTTATTCATAATAATGACACCTAGGTCCCGTGCTTTAGCAACAGGCTGCAATGTCAGGGGTCCAGTCAAAGTCTGCATTGTAATCCCATCATTGCTAGAAGTCAGCAGCTGGCATTTTCTAGTGTTAAGGGGCAAATCCTATACGAAAGACCAATCTGCTAAAGTGCAGAGATTCTTGGACAACGTATCCCTATTACCTCTGCTAACCAGTTTCAGGTCATCGGCAAAGATGCAACAGGGGTCATCAAGAAGAGGTGTCAAGTCGTTTATGAATATGAGAAATAACAGGAAACCTAAAACAGAGCCCTGGGGAACTTAACTGTGAGCGGTGCCTATACTTGAGATGTCATCACCGACTCTAACGTAGAGGGTACATTCTAAAAGAAATGCGTTAAGTAAAAAAGCCGGCTGCCTTGCTAGACTGGTTACCAGTTAACAGTCGGCTTTGCGCAGTTCGTCTTCAGGGGTCATGTCGAGGCCACAGACATCGCGAAGAACCATGCAACTTGTTTGTCGTTTCTGCCTACGCCCCAACTGACTGCAGCAGCGACTCTGTCAAGGACGATTTTTACCGCGAACTTCACCTTCTTCTGAGTAAAGTGGACAAGTCAGATGTTGTTATACTTGCTGGTGATTTTAATGCACGGGTCGGTCGCCTGCTTCCATATGAACGCCACCTTGGAGGTCAGCACGCGCTTAACGAGAGACGCACAGATAATGGGGACCGGCTTCTCACATTGTGCGAGGACAACCACCTGTTTCTCTCCAGCACCAATTTCAGGCATAACAAGAGACGTTCCGCAACCTGGCGCTCTCCGTCGTCAACACAGTTCTGGTCCCAGATCGACCACATCGCAATCAGTTTCCGTTGGCGAGGTAGTATACAAGACTGCAGGTCATTCTGGTCAACCTACCTCGACTCAGATCACGCGCTGGTTTGTGCGAACATCTGCATGCGCTTCGGTGGGCCCCGGAAACAACTGCACCGTAAGATTGACGCAAACAGGTTAGTTGACCCCTCTGTCCAACTGAGCTATCAAGCTGCACTATCGGATGCTCTCACCTGTAGTCCACCCCAGGATGTTGAGCAACATTGGGCTTGTTTGCACAAAGCGATACTTTCCTCTGGTCAATCGCTTTGTGGTCTCACCCAACACCCTTTGAAAAGTTGGATCTCCGCTCGCTCGCTAGAACTGTTTGACCGCCGTCGAAATGTGCCACCAGAGTCAGCTCATAATCCTGTGCGCCAGACTCTTAATCAGCAAGTCAAACAAAACTTGCGTAATGACCGCTAAGACTTGGTGGTCTCAGCGCGCCTCGGAGATGGAGACCGCTGCTTCTCCGGCAATTTCCGCAAGCTCTTCCAGCTCATTCGGTTCACCGGCCCCAGAAGGCCTGGTGTCAGCGAGACTATCTGTGAAGCGGATGAGTCACGAATCACTAACCTGCGAAGACGCGTAGAGCGTTGGGCCGAACATTTTCACTCCCAATTCAATCACCATCCATTGTCCGCTAGTATGCCAAGTACACCCAGTTGCATGCCCTGGGCCATTTCATTGGAAACACCTAATGAAGCGGAGATTTTCGTCAAGATTCGATACCTTAAGAAATTCAAGTTTCCCGATCAGGACAAACTTCTTCCGGAGATGTTCAAGTTTGGCGGCCCAGTACTTGTCAAGCAGATGACATCGGTTTTCCAAGATATGGCAAGAAGAGAAGATTCCATCCTGATGGGGTGAGTCAGTAATTGCCACTATTTTTAAGAAAGGTGTTCGCACATCCTGTGCTAATCATAGGGGAATCAGTCTCATGCCGGTTGCTTCCAAACTGCTGGCATCCATTCTGCTTAGCAGATTATCACCGATCCGAGTTGTTTTACCGAGAAGAACAAGCTGGCATTCGCCCCGGTTAAGGATGCGTGGACCAGATCTCACGCTACGCCGAATGCTTGAACACCACCATCTCTACCATCAGCCAACCATTGTCGCTTTTCTGGACTCGGTTGATCGGCCTGATTTATGGCGCTGTCTGCTAAGAAATGGAGTCCCCTCGGGCACTTTACTTCCAAATGTCAGATAGAGTGAGGGTCAATGGCAA